ACCACGAGCGGCGGCGGCGGCGCCGCCGGGAAGGACAAGGACAGGGACAGGGGCAGGGGCTCCGCGGTCTCCTTCACGGAGGGCGAGAAGGTGCTCGCCTACCACGGCCCGCTCCTCTACGAGGCCAAGGTTGCCCCCTCCCCTCCCTCCCCACCTCCCATTCCGGTCTAGGGTTCGCCCGCCGCCGCGCCGGCTCCCGGGAGGTCCCGCTTCTCCGTTCCGTTTTTTTTTTCGACCGCGGCTAGGGTTTGGAGCGGGGCCGTCAGAGTAGACGAGGGTTCAGGGAGGTTTAATCCGAGGCGTGTACATCACATCGGACGGCGCAGCACTCTTCTTTTCTTCAGAGAAGAAAGAAACGCAGCGCCGTTCGTTCCTCCTCTGCACCGCCCGGATTCTTATATTTAGGGCGTAATTTTTTTAATTCAGAGCGCGCATGTAGACGCGAGCTTGTGAGTATCTCAGTACCAGACCGTGATTAGCACCAGGTGGATTGATTTCCTGGACCATGGGTACTTCATGTAGTAAGTAACAAGGAGTGGGAGATGGGACTACATCTGTACTTCTATATGAAGAAATACGCACACCTGAAGGCTATGTGAAATTTACCAGTTGCACACCTGCAATTCTCCCCTCAGTAATACCGATTTAATAACGGGAGAATAGAAGGCAACCCAAGTAAACGAAACGGAAAACGGGTATACTCTTTATTTTCTTTCTTCAGTTGTAATAGATCGCTCTCATTTCTGCTAAATGTAGTAGTAGTATCTCTTTCCCAACATTATTCAAGTGCTGGCATGTGGAACTAAGCCGTGAATGCCTGGTTGGGAAGTGCATATTAGTGTATGCAGTATATGTTTCTTTGGTACATACTTTTTGCCGGTGTTTTTTATGTATGCGGAATACTTTTTGCAGGTGTTTTTTTATGTATGCTGAATATATGTTGCTGATGACAAAGTTTCGTTATTTGTTCTCAATCTGTGAAGGTTCAAAAAACTGAAAATCGGGAGGACGAGTGGCGGTACTTCGTCCATTATCTTGTAAGTCCCCTCAAATGGCCATTGTAAAACATGGTAATTACCTCAAAGCATTGTTTCCTCATTGTTTTGAAATTATTGGCCACTCTTAGCATTAAGATATCGGAAGATATAATCTCTATATATGTGTCCGCTCTTCCTTGTAGCTCCTTTTTTCCCGCTGTTATTAACTTTGTCTCTTCCCTTTTTGCAGGGATGGAATAAAAAGTAAGTGCATACCACAGTGGCTGTTAGATAAGTCTTCCATATTCACTTGGAATTACTAATGTATCATTATGTTTTTCCTGTTTTTTCTGTTGATGCATACGTCAGTGATATTTGTAAGATATGTAGTTCTTTGCTTGCAATATACTTTATTCGATGTTCTTATTGGTCAAGCAATTGACATCATCATCACATACAGTAGCCATTCTATCATTACAAGTTGAACTCTCTACAAAGGAAATCTTTGGAATCATGGAATACTGTGCAATGCAACCACCTAGTTTTCATGAGGGTTACGAAATTATGCATGGCTTTTCACTTCTTAGCATTGACTAAACCAAATTCCTTTTCGTTTAGTCAGATATATTTGTATCAAATAATGTGCTTTTTTTATGTAACATCACATTATTTCAAAAGCCTTGACTTTGAGCTGCATGTTCTGCCTGTATTGTACATAAGTTATGTTAAACACGGCCAGTTTTGATCCCTTATAACATAATAATTTATGTTCTAGTTTAATGCAGTTGACTGATGTTGTATAATGCGCCAGTGCTAGTCTTATGCATGATCATATGTTTGGTCATTTGGTGTCTATGTACTATTCTATTATACCTTTGATTTCGTTGTCTGTTGCCAACATACTCGTAAACTTAACAGTAAGCAAACCCATTTCACAATATAAGGCCATTTACTTGTGCACCATCATTTCGCGATATACATCGAAGAAGTCAAGACTGTAATTATTGCAATACTCGACTCTCTGTTCCCACTTCAATGCCGTAAAGGAGGTTAAGTGGCTGTAGACTTGTAGTTTGTCAATTGACAGCATTATGTGTGATCCAATGTCATTACTCATTACTAAGATTAGGCAGCTCTGTGATTTGTGCACACAATGGACTTGTACTAATATTGCAAAACAAAGTGATAATATATTACAGCAGTGAAACTTTTTTTGTTCATTATCACAGTCAAGGCCCTGGATTGTGTCCCATACGGATGTCTAATGGTTCCATTCTTGATTTTTTTTATTACTCAATTTGTTTTACCCGTGCATTTCATTTCCTGAAGTTCAAAGATTGTGGTAATGAAGGCATCTTAAACAGGGTATTATTAATATGTCTCAGCATCCTAAGTGATTCCGTGTTTTTTGTACTGACCTTTAAGTGGGTGGTGGATGGGATTTGGCAATATGAATAAAGCAGAAGGATGGAGGGATTGGTTCAGTAATTGTGCCAATCGAAATTCTGCTTTCATGCACCTGCCAGTTTCAAAGTGTATGGTTTGTCCTCTGTTTATATGGACATCTGAATGAGCTAATACAGCTGTTTGAGTGGCTTGGTAAATAGATCATTTACGGAAGAGGGTTCCTGTGTTAGTTGCCAGCTGCTGTTAATATTAACAACTAAAAAGAATTGATGTGCAGGGCCATCTTTTGATGGTATTTCATCTTCAGATTTATGGTTGTGCACAGTTATATTCCATTAACTTTTTCATGAATCCCTGTTGAGTGCTTGCTTCTGTCATTTTAATTATGTCACTATCACTGCAGTTAATTAATTGTCCATCCTTGCTGTTCTAATCCTCCATGTACAGTTGTACACATTCTTTTCAACTTATTCAGTTTTCAATGGTTATAGTTGGGATGAATGGGTCGCAAGTGATCGTTTATTGAAGTTGACTGAAGAGAATGTTCGCAAACAACTAGAGCTGAAAAACCAGTCAGGGGACAAAAGCGTCAGGACTGGTGGACGGTCAGCACAGCATAACCCAAAAGGCTCTAATGGTTAGTGACATTTTGCAGCAATGGCATCATCTTGCAATTCATTTCTATCGATGGGATGGCTATAACTGAACATTCTGATCATCTCATACTGATGTAACTCAAATTCCATCCTGCATATCTTCTTTTGAAGTAAATTGTTAAGTTGCAACCCATTATTGGAATGATTTTGTGATAGGTGCTGAAACAACTTTTGGTGATAGATAAGTATGTCACTAGTTATACCTGTCTGCGCTAATGCAGTAATGAATATACTCCCTCCGTTTGTAAATGTAAGTCTTTATAGATATTCCACTATAAACCACATACGGATGTATATAGATGCATATTAAGAGTAGATTCATTCATTTTCCTCCGTATATAGTCCACCTAGTGGAATCTCTACAAAGACTTATATTTAGAAACGGAGGGAGTAGATCACAATGTTCTAAAAGGTGCTTTGTTCCAGTAAGGGTGTCTCTTAGAGCCTTGGTAGGCTATGTGGCCGCCTTTCAGAACTTTGATAGGGCATTAGAAAGAAAGTCGACATATCTCGACCATATTTATACTTTTGTCTTTTGGTTGAAATTTCTCCTGATTGGCTCTCATATTTGCTTTCAGCGGATGCAAAAGCCGATAAAGAGGACACTAAGGGTCTTGGTAAGTTTGCTCTTCTTTTAACAGAATTCCTTTTGTCATCTGTTTCTTTTATTCTATTGGTGCATTTATCTGTTTTCAGATTTTCCCCAGCTACTTAGTTGTATAATATATTCTTTAATATACTTGTTATGTTGAAATTCCAGTCAAGGGGAAGAAGCGCAAGAATCAGCTTGGCGTTGAGGTGGCTATGATTCCCAAACATGTACATTCTTAAGTATTTGATTTGATTTTCTATAAAGTTCATACTCTATGCATATTATCCATATACAGAACAATACTAATATTAAACATATCTCCTTTTGCACTTCTGTGCTCTTCCAAAATGCTAATACTTATTTATTGTTTACTTTATTCTGTAATTTGCATAAGTCCGGCGATATCCTCAAATTTCCTTGACTGAGGATGACAATTCACACAAAAATTATGACTACTGTGCAATACATGACACCATTCTCTTGCCGTTGTAACACTTTGACCTCCAAATTCATTTTTTAGACAGCATATGCATAATGGCCTGCAACAGCAGCCAGCAATTTTTTTTTTGGCGAATGAGCCAGCAGCTTAATGTGTAAAAGACGATTGTTGAGAGATTTTGCATACTTGTTCAAGTTATTGCATTTGTATGGTCTATATCACAAAAATTGAAATCGCCACTAGTTGAGGTGAGCTGGCGAGCATCAGTCCTAGTTTCGATAGCTTGAAATGGAACCATCATTTCTATCCAGTATGAAGTTATGGTCCAGCTTAATGAAATAGACTAATAACTTTGATGCTCGGATATCTTTGCCAAAATGGTAGACTGTAATAAATCAGTTTGCATAGTCTTTTATCAAGTTTCTTGTGATGTTGCTGTAACGTATTAATGACTCCACCTTGGTTGATTCAGGAAAAGGAAAGAAGATCATCAGAGAGTCTCCTAATGTCACAGTTTCCCGTAACACTGAAGAAGCAACTTGTTGATGATTGGGAGTTTGTCACGCAGCTGGGTAAGGTATTCAATTCTTGACTGCACTATCTTTCGTTCATTTATTTATATCTGAATTGCACTCATCTTCTTTCTTACATCACTAGTTGGTAGTTGCATATAGTGTTTCAGCTGGTTGGGAAATAACATGTACCAAGAAAAAGAAATAACAAGTACCAAATGGAACGACATGTTGTCTCGATAATGCCTATTTGAAAATGCCTATATTTTAAATAGGAACAAACCTTAGAATAAAATAATGAATTAGCAATCTTTGCCATTTGATAAGCTGTTGGCTCGGATCAGACAGCTACCAACATTTTACTAGAAAAGAAACAATTATTTAACTTCCAAACAACAACAACAAAGCCTTTAGTCCCAAACAAGTTGGGGTAGGCTAGAGGTGAAACCCATGAGATCTTGCGGCCAACTCATGGCTCTGGCACATAGATAGCAAGCTTCCACACACCCCTGTCCATAGCTAGCTCTTTGGTGATACTCCAATCCTTCAGGTCTCTCTTAACGGACTCCTCCCATGTCAAATTTGGTCTACCCCGACCTCTCTTGACATTCTCTGCACGCTTTAGCCGTCCACTATGCACTGGAGCTTCTGAAGGCCTGCGCTGAATATGCCCAAACTATCTCAGACGATGTTGGACAAGCTTCTGTTCAAACATATTTTTTTACATCTTATGGGGCTGATTTTTGTTGATGGGAAAGAGGAGATTGAAGAAGAAATTGTCTCAGGGAGATTGAAAAGGGTAACACAAATAGCTCATGCTCTGAGCTGTGCTTTGTTTGGGGGATGCAATTTTTCTTGATTGATGAGAAGATCACATAGGATGTCCTTTTTACTCAATCATCATATTATTTTCTAGTTTACTTAATCGTATCCGGAAAGGATACCTAATCCTATCCTAAGGCGACGGCGGTGGACTACATGGTCAGTGATTGGGAAACTGACTGAGGGGAAGCGAGATGGGCCGGGAGGAGATTTGGCCTGTGAGGCTGGATGGATTAAATAGGTATTTTCAAATTAAGAAAATCTGGAAGATAAAAATAAAGCAAGGAAAATACCAAATACTCCAGGAAATCCACGAAGAATCAGTGAGGCATATTATAATATGCTGAAACCAAATAAAGTACATACAACTTACGTTGAAGTATAATTTAATCATACTGAACACAAAAGACTATGAAATTCCCATTTGAGCTTTAATTAATTGGAGAAAATCTACAGAAATTTTCTAGCCTAGTTTTTGATAAAATATATTCAAAAAACCCAAACTTTTCATGTTACGAGTTACTGGCCTTATTTGATTCCCACGCTGAAAATGTGCATCCATAAAGAAGTATAATTTCCACCCGCTTTACAAAACAGCTTGTCCTTGAGCTAGAAATTTGGATAATCCTGCACCGTCATCCGTAAAAGTCTCCATTAAGTCGATTGCCACCGCGCTAGACTTTGACTTATAATGCTATTTCTTAGAAAATCATGATGAGAATCCTGCATTTTCAGCATGGTATCATTCTTATCAGTTTTTTGTCATCAAAGAGAGAACCATATCTTTGTTCTTGCAGACTTGTGGGCTGAATCTCATTGCTTGGCTTGATTATTTCCAGGAAATTCTCTGCTATAATTTGATGACATCATCTGAACATTTCCTTGTCCTGCAGCTTGTAAAACTACCTCGATCGCCCACTGTTGATGATATTCTAACGAAGTATTTGGAGTATCGGGTAAAGAAGGACAACAAGTCAGTAATCTATGTTATGTATCTTGTTTATTAGCCTCTCTTTTTTATGGTCACATTTGTATTCTGTGACTAATACAAGTAGTTTACTAGAATTGTGAACTTACTATTTTTTTTTCTTATTATGCAACGGCTTGACTGCATAATGCTGAAGCATCATAGTGCCATTTTAATTACTGTCAGGGAAAACAGCTCCATGCGAAATTCAGATAAAAGTTAAAAACTGGCAGATGTACAAGACACACAGACCTGCTTTTTGTTTGTTTGTGTGGAAAAAAATATTGAATTCTCTTAGGTCAAGATTGAATTCAAGCTTTCCCTGATTTCAGATGGTTTCTTCCAGCAATATAGCAAAAACGTTTGGTCTGATTAGTTCTGATGGCAGTTATAGCTTGCATATGCAAGGCACAAAGACCTGTTTTTGTTTGTTTGTGTGAGAAAAATGACATCTTATGTTGAGATTGAACTCAAGCCTTTCATAACTTCAGGTGGCTTCTTCCAGCAATATTACCAAAAACAATTCGTTTTTTTATTTGTAGCGGGGTCTGTAATTTTCTTAAATGAATTACTATTTCTTCACTACTGTATGCTTGTTGGGCCTGTCATGGGCTTGGGATGATTTGTTGCAGCCAGGATACTAACAATTCATATCAGGCTTGCTGAAACTTATCCCATCTGCACAGATTTAATGTCAGCTGTACTATGGGCTTATAGTTTAGCTGATGTGCCTTGTGCCCCCTACTAGTGATCGTTATTACAATGCAGCAGATAGTTTATGTGCCAATTCTTTTAGGCGTACAAATATGGCAGAAAGAAAAAAAAAACATCAATGGCCTTCTAACCTTACTGGATCAAGTCTGCTAATTCGCCATAAGGGTGGGGAAGTTCCCAACAACTTAAGCTAATGAAGAACAGTTGTTTTATTTATTCGGTTGGCTGTCTAAATGTTGCAAATTCTGTTCTTGTGCAATAGTGTTGTAATTTTGACCCCAAGCTACCTGTGTCATTTGTCAAGCATTGTTTTCTCCATTAAAGTTACCTTTTGTTTTGAAGGATAAGTGACTCTTGTGCTGAGGTAACAAAAGGATTACGCTGTTACTTCGATAAAGCATTGCCTGCCATGCTTTTATACAAGAAAGAGCAAAAGCAGTATAAGGAAGAAATTAAAGGTGACGTTTCACCCTCGACTGTATATGGAGCTGAGCATCTACTACGTCTGTTTGGTATGTCCAAATTTTCCACTACAGGAGCTGTCTTATGTCTTCGATTTTTCCTTTCATATAGTTCCCCAGTGGCTCAGTTGGAAGTGATCATAAGAGCTTTGGAAAATGACGTTCGATCTTATCTTATTACTTTATTTGACTTTCCTTGATCCACTGTCAGTCAGTCAGTTGTAGCAGTATCTATCACCCTTGGTTTGTTGTTTAAACTGATAAGATGCTTACTCATGGAGGCATTATAATTTTAGTCTTCCTATAAAGCTCGGTGCACAATTTCTTGTCTTCCAAAGGAACTCTAACCCAGTTTGTTCCTCTTTCTGCAAGGCACCCCAAAACTGAAATAAAAAAAAACTGGCATGTTTGCTTGGAAGCAAACCATGTTTCTTGCCTTGCAAAGGGGGCTGAAAACGGCGGCCATGCAGCACTAGCTTTCTACTTTTCTGGGGAAACTTGTTTGCCAAGTACATTATATGTTTCTGAACTGATCTGGGATAGTTGTCGATACCTCAGAAAGCACATTGCTTGTGTTTTGATTAGTTTAGTAGGATTGGTAACTTGATTAGGTCAATATCGTTTTTCTGATTGTCTTTACCACTTTACAGTGAAACTACCAGAGCTACTTTCTTCTGTGAACATGGAAGAAGATGCACTCAACAAACTGCAGCAGAAATTACTGGACATTCTCAAGTAAGCAACTCTTGATTAAATTGTCAGCATATGCTTGATTCTCAGTTGAGGCCAAACTGATCCGCTTCGTATCGACCAAATTGTCAGGTTTCTGCAGAAGAACCAAGTCCATTTCTTCCTTTCTGCGTACGACGGCGATTCCAAAGGCGCCGACGGGGCAAAAGGCAAATAGAAGCAAACGTTGGTATCTGTATGTCGGATGCGCCATCCACTGCTGGATTTGTGTTGCGTAGCTCACACCTCATAGTCTGGTTGTTGCTTGGATGTGGATGTTTTGTGGGATGTGTGACCCCTGACCGCTGATCGCCGCTGCTCTGCTTGCTAACGACAAGTTCATGTAGCTGACCTGTCCAACATCACTGTTGGCCGGCGTACAAAATCCTTGCGTCTGTGTGGTGCCCCTGGGACTGACCTGCATCAGTTAACTAGTGTACATTTGCAGAATCTCTCTGTTTTCTTGCGAACTCTGAATAATTTCCTTCTTTGAACGACACCAAATTGCGAGTGCCGCCTCCATTCCCGTGTGCGGATCGTTTTTCGTTAGGACAAGGTCTGGCCCAAGAATTACTTATGTGGTTTCTATGGCATGATTGCTATCGCTAGATATGTTTTCTGACACTAGTGTAATGTAAGACGTTTTTTGACACTAGTGTAGTGTAGTGTCAAAAAACGTTTGACGTTATAGGACGGAGGGAGTAGATGATACAAACGGGAATGGAGGCATACAAATTTGGGTTCCTCTTTCAAATTGGGTGCAGTTGTTTTTCTGGATTTTTGTTTCCCTTGCGCCTCAGGCTGCAAGTGGACGCGGGCTGCCCGCGGTGCCCACGTAAAAGCCCACGTAATTTGTGTTCGTGGACACCCACAGATAGAGCAACTGGATATGTGGGATACGTGGGTTTGTCCTGCGACGTCCGCGAGCCCACTTCCTTCTCACTTCCTCAAATCAGGGCCCGCCGCCATGTAGCTCTGCCATGACCACAACGCCATCTTCCAACTCCGCCACGGACGCCGCCACAGCGTCGTCGTCGTCCGATTCTGTCATGGTCGTCCCACTCCGCCATGGATGCCGCCGCAACATTGCGGCCCAGCTCTGCCATGGACGACGCATCTTTGCCATCATCACGATCTTGGAAAAAGCCTCGCGTTTGTATGGTGCCATCCGCAAGCAGCGACACACATCCATCTCTCTCGTTGATCAGTCATTTACTCATTCTCTGCCTGTCCATCCGTTTTCCACAGCCGTGTGGGCAGCGACAGCTTGTACATCAGATCCATGTTTTGACGGTGCACGATGTCCAGCTTCAGGTAACTTACTCATGCTTGCCAGCACCAGAAGTCCTCGTGTTCTACTATCACTATTCAGTATGCATGAACATGAACAGTTGAGTATTTCTATATGCTGCCTGATGTGCTTGTACGCGCTTGTACTCCGCTGTTATTTGAGTGCAGGAACATTCACTTTCAGTCATGTTGTTGGATGTGGGTTGCCCGCTAAACCCACTTATCCCGTGTAAAAATATGCGGGCAGATGCGGACTTTCCACTTATACTATGCGACAGATGTTGGGCGGATGCGGGCTTCCCGCGGACAGTCCCACTTGCAGCCTGACTTGCGCCTGCTTTGGGAAATGGTACGTAGCTATATTTCAGAATTTGTATTTTGAATGCTTTTAAAATGTGGAACGGCTTACAAAGACTTTGGCAACTCCTGTGTGAAGAGCCCAAGTATAGGGTTTCCGGCTAGGGACGTGGAGCATTTGAGCTCGAGCTCAAATGAGCCAGCATGAACAGTAAAATAAAAAACTCAAAAATTTCTGATTTTGTTTTGTGGTGAACTTTGACAAATGTTCTAAGTGCTTGCAAATTTTCATCATGAGATCACATTTGTAGAAGGCGCGACAAAACAAAAACAAAACGATGCTCTCGAAATGCTACTTTCAAAAGCATTTTGAAGCATTGATTTTTTTTTTTGCCACGCCTTCCATGAATATTATCTCAAACACTTAGAACATTTGTCAAAGTGTACCGCATTTTTTAAAGTTTTTTTGATTTTTTTTAAATTTACTGTTCATCTGAGCTCAAAAGGTGCTTTCTTCTTTCACTTGCTGTTACTTGCTTAACTCTGGGATACTTATGTGTTCTGGTGCGGGTGCTGCGGTGGGGTGCCTGCACTTGCACTTGTTCCTGATAAATACCCGAGCCCGTGTGGGCGAAGGATGTGTCATGTCCTTTTCAATGAAATGAAGTTTGGATTGGAGGCGAATAGCCCCCTCGGTTGGGAAAATAAGTGATGCATCCCGTTTTGCCCACAGCGGCAATCCAGCCCGTCTGTGCATCATAACAGAGGGATTTGTATTCAATGTGTTTCCATAGTAAATTGAGCCGTGTACTCGTCTTCTTCTTTTGTCTCGTGTGAAACTTGACCACAGCTACTTCCTTCGTCTAGGTGAATAAGTCATCTTAGGTTGTGCACCGTGACCAACGAGAAGGGGAAAACAAAAGAACTTAATGTTTATTTGCTAATTAAAGACTAGCCACAATGGTGAGTAACATACACTAGTAACATACACATATCACTAGACTATATTACTACTTTCATAGTGGGTAGTAACATAAGTGTAGTAACATGCAAAGCTTCATTTATTAGGTTATAGACTCATATTGCATTGGGACATGTGATGTTACAGTAACTAGCTAAGTCACTATAACTATCTCTCTCCTCATTAACTCACTGCCACATAAGCAAAATTGTTGAGTTGGACTCGATGTTACTGCTGAAGTTAATTACTCCCACTGTGGCTAGTCTAAGAGCACAACATGCAATGAACTAACCACTGCATGTCGTGTTTGGTAGTCTCAAGTCTTTAAAAGCATGTACACCCCACATCTCTTATTGGTTGATATGTCAAGAAACAAGAAACGAGGTAGAAGATAATGCACCGCGTCTAAGTGTTTTGGGATTATTTGATTTTCGTAAGATGACTTACACATTTAGATAGAGGGAGTAAGTTTTTTTTTGAGGGATTGATCACAGCTAGGTTGAGTGAGCCGCGTGGAGTAGTGCAGAATAGTGAGAGGGGAGCTTCCACGTCCAACTCCTAACATATTTGTATTGTTTCCCTAAAACAAACATATTCGTATTGTCAACGGCTTAATATAGTACTTCTCCCTTTCTTTTTACTAAGGCCATGTCAAATGCTCACCCCTAAAACGGAATCGTATCCGTCCGTGAATGCGTCCGTGAACAGTGATACGGGAGCCGGTCATTCAACCAAGTCTGCATACATTCCAAATGGTTCTGGACAAACCGGGGATCATGCAATCCAGATGATTTTCATTAAATCGTACCACATTCATTACATTTTCAACACATTTCATTAAACAAAAGCATCCGTAAGTTAATTTAGTCTAAATCTTCGTCGGTGTCCGTGCTCCCAGTGGTTGTGTGCCCCGGAAAGTGAAGCTGCAGGTCACCGGAGAGGAAGAGTTAGACATGGGACATGGATGGCCCACATGGAACACGAGGTGCCGCCGTCCACATCGGTGGAGGTGAGGTCAACCATGGACGTGGACATGCCAGCCTTGTGATCGCAGCGATGCCAATGGCACGATGCAAGTGTTCCCTTCCGCGACCGCTTGCGTGTCCGCCAGCGCCATGCAAGCGCTACACGCGGCCTCGTAGAGCGCCGCTGCTCCTCGATGAAGTTCGGGTTCTCCGCAGCCATGGCCGTCAGGCCCTCCGCCAGCAGGTGATGGATGAGGAGAGCGAGGTTGTACACTGCTCCTCTTATGTCTGCTGGAACATTGGCACCGGCCGCGGCACCAAAAACCAATGTGCACTGTATGTTTTGACAGAGAGAGTATCATATAAACGATGCATTACTATAGAATAATTATGTGAAATGAAGTGTTGTACTCCAGTATGAAGTGTACCCATACCCATTATGTTGTGCCTACAGTCAACATGGCTTAGCGATTTGCGCTTTACTGTACTCCCTCCGTTTTTATTTACTCTGTATATTAGAGTTGACTGGAGTCAAACTTTGTAAAGTTTGACCAAGTATATAAAAAACAATATAGAAATTTATCATAATAAATCTATACGATGTGAAAGTACATTCAATAATAAATCTAATGTTGTTGATTTGTTATTATATATCTTAATATTTTTGTTTATAAACTTGATCAAAGTTTGTAAAGCTTGACTTTGACCAAAACTAATATGCGAACTAAATAAAAACGGAAGGAGTATGAAGTGTATTCAATGTGGCATTCATGGTAAATTGAGAGCTTCCATGTGGATTCCTAACATATTCGTACTGTCAACGGTTCCAAGCTGTTTCGTCTACGTTCGTGTGTTTTTGGATAGGATCTTTTGGATCTATGTTATTCTTCATCGGCGGCGGTTGCTGTTCGGGTGCGCTGGTCTTATTGGGACTTAGTACAACGACTTTTTGACGGTCTACTACAACAAGTTGTGCCCGACTTTAACGAGGAAGGGGCGATGACGGCGGCGCCCTTTGACTCGCTTCAGTTCTTGTAATCGTCACTATGTGGTCTACGGATCAGTATGTAATTCCCATTATTTCTGGTATCCATTGTACTGATATGCTCGAAAATGAATAGAAGAAAAGTTTTTTTTAAAAATATTGTCTAAACGTCTTTTAAATGGAAAAACTAACGCCCACACGTGTGGGCGTTTGCACATCGCCCACACGCCTCGATCACCACTCATTTTGCCACGTATGAATAGATGACATCAGCGGAATCTTTTTGGTTTTCGGCTTAAAAACATTTTATCTCCTAATTAAAAAGGCGAATTAAAAATCCATTTTCACCATTAAATCCGTCTCGACGAGATCTTCAAAATTAGACCCCATGTTGATATGTTTTGACGAAACTTTTTTTTGCCCAAAAGTTGCCATGATGTTTACACTGTAGTTGCCATGGTACTTAAACTAAAGTTGCCATGTGACAATTTTAGTTTGTAGATCATGGCAATTTTAGTTTTTGATGATGGCAATTCCAGTATTTTGACCATGAAAATATTTTTTTGCATGAACCATGGCAATTTTAACTGCATGTATCATGGCAATTTTAGTTTATGGTGCATGACAAGTCTAGTTTCTTAATTCTCTGTTTTATAATATGTCAAAATTTACTTTTTAATATAGAAGAAAATAGCTGAAACATAACAATGCAACTTTAGTGTAAACATCATGGCAATTCATGTGCAATAGACATGGCAACTTTTAACAAAAAAAAATTTCACCGAAATATATTGATATGAGATCTAGTTTCGAAGATCTCGTCGCGAGGGATTTATTGGTGATAACGGATCTTCAATCGGAATTTTCATTTAAGAGATAAAACATTTTAAAAACTGAAAATCCAAAAAAATTTCCACATGCATACATGCGGTGACATGGCGTAGTCTGTATGTTATAGAGCGTGTGGACGAGTTTGGCTCCCACCATACGTGTGGGCGTTTTTTTTGCATGGTAATACGTGTCTCATTCATATCATAAATAACAAAGTATAAGTCACGTAAAAACCGACAAGACAAAACTGAAAAGATAGTAGAACATCTCTGAGCTTGACACCAACGCCCGCCACCTGCCTCCGGCACCACCATAGCAGCCACTGAAGAAAAGAATGACGAATCACCACCTCACCCGAGCTCGACGCGGCTCCATCGTTGATTTGCAGCTTTGCGGACCTCCAAGGTGGCTCACCAAAAGTGAAGCCTTTGCCGTTGAACGAATCAGACCGGGGCAACACCCCGGACACGCCATCGAACTCCAGATCTGGCACCCCACCACGACTAAGACGCCGAAGGAGGAAACCATACCTGTCATCCACGAACCACGAGCCCAGCAGATGTTCCGTCTTCCAGATGTCGTCGATGCAGACCACAATCTGCATCCGCTCCAGGACTACCTCCCAAGCTCCACGCCGATGCTGGAGCAAACGCCGTTGCAACGGCGGAGCCCGAGGACACAGGTCCACCTCGAGGATGCCGCCGCCGCCACGCCATCCTTGCTTGAACAGACTGGTTTTCAAATCCATCCCCAACCATAGGACCGATGGCCTTGTCAGGGAAGGATCCAAAAAATATTTATTCAGCATCGTCATCGTCGCCACCGAAGCAAAGACGATGAACAACCTAAAAACCTAAACTACGAGGAAGTAAAATCAATCCACGCGCGTGGATTCGGCGGCCCCCTCGCCACCGATGACCGAGGTCGCCGGCGGAGGGGAGCCGCCGAAGAACGGCGGTGGAAGATCGGCCTCTTCTGGCGGCGGCTAGGGTTGCAGCCGCCAGGGAGAGGAAAACGTATCGCTCCCTGCTCACGGCGTCCGATCATACGTGTGGGCGTCAGCATTGTCCCTTTTAAAAGAGAATAGAGAGAGTAGCGGCAATATACAGTTCCACGGAAGTAAAAAATTGCAAAATATAACGATGACAGTAAACATTGGAACGATCCAACGGCACGTCTTAATTAGCGTGACAACGGCAATAGTAGGTTAACATGGTCACCAATGTGTACAGGTGAAAAGAACACTCTTGACGTGTACGTGCGGACGACACAAGAAAAAGTACATAGGGACATGCACCGATGCACGACAGCGACGCCGTGCCGGACCAGGCGCGCCGGCGTCCGTGCAGCGCCCAGGTATGGTACGTACGTACGGTGCGGCCGGGCTTAGACGACCGCCGGGAAGGGGCTGAGGCGCGGCGAGGGGCGGAGCAGCAGCGGGTGCTTGCGCGCGCACACCAGCCCGTCGGCCTCCTCCATGTCTATCTTCTTCCCGTCGATGTCGGCGGGCACGGCCCAGTCGAAGCACTGCACCAGGGCCGCCACGACGGCGGGCACGGACTGGAGCGCCAGCCCCATGCCGGGGCACCCGCGCCGGCCGCTCCCGAACGGCAGGTACTGGAAGTGCTGCCCGCGCGGGTCCAGCGCCTCGTTGCGCCCGCCGGCCAGGAACCGCTCCGGCCGGAACTCCAGCGGCGCGTCCCAGTTGGCCGGGTCGCGCGCGATGGACCACAGGTTGATGAACACCGCCGTGCCCGCCGGCACCGTGAACCCGCCGGCCGCGGTCACCACCATCTCCTCCGTCGACTGCCGGTGCGCGATCGGGGCCGCCGGGCGCAGCCGCAGCGTCTCCTTGTACGCCGCCTGCAGGTACGGGAGGCTCGCCACGTCGCCCTCGCCGGCGATCCTGTCGCGCCCCACCACCGCGTCGATCTCCGACCGCACCTTGCGGAGGCACTCCGGGTGGTTCATCAGCTCCGCCAGCATCCACTCCACCATCGCCGCCGACGTGTCGGAGCCAGCGGTCACCACGTCCTGCATAGTACATCCACGTACGTGCGTGATCGAGAAGAATTCAATAATCGCAACGGCACGAAGAAGAAAATTAATTAAAAGCTTTGGTCTTACGATGACGAAGGCTTTGATCTTCTTCCTGGTGAGCTTCACCTCCGCCGCCGCGTCGTCCTCCAACTTGTCCAGCAGGATGTCGAGCAAGTCCTTGCTGCTCTCCGTCGTCGTTCCCGTGGCCGTCTTCTTCTCCGGCGTCTCTCCTTCTCCTCCACCACGCATCCTCCTGGCCTCTCGGGCCTCCTCCTTGTGCCGTATCATCTCCTCGAGCAGCGCGTCGAAGCGGCGGTGGACGTCGGCGGCCCGGCGACCGAGGCCCTGGAGGTCCCAGCCGCGGCACACGGCGATGTAATCCTCGACGTTGAACGCACCGACGAGCTCCGCGACCGCCTTGACCAGCTCCTGCGCCTCCTCCGTGACGCTCCCGGGCACGGTGCTGGCCATCATCCTGATGATGGACGTGTTCGACAGCCGGATGAGCGCGGCGGTGAGGTCCACCGCCTCAGCACCCGACGCCTGGTGCAGCACGCTCTGCAGCAGGGACACGAGGCCGGCGCGGCGGACGGGGCGGAGCTGCTCGACGGTGCGGGGGCCGAGGAGCTCGGACATGCAGAGGCGCTTCATGGAGCGCCAGTGCGGGCCGTAGGGCGCGAAGGCGAAGCCGTCGTCGCCGTACGCGAACTGGCGCGCCACGGCCGTGAGCGGCCGCTCCGAGATCTTGCCCTCGTGGGTCCGGATGAGCTCAGCGGCGACGCCGGCCGAGCTGGCCACCACGCAGTGGGTGGAGCCGAGCCGGATGTGCATCAGCGGGCCCAGCCTGGCCGCCAGGTCGTGGAAGGTGCGGTGCACCGGCGGGCGCACCAGGTGCAGGTGCCCGATCACCGGGAAGCCCCGCGGGCTCGGCGGCAGCCGCGGCTTCCGTCCCCCGCCTCTCCTCACAGCGGCGATCATAAGGACCGCGGTGGCGAGCGCGGCCGCGAGGAGGGAGGCTGTCACTGGGTCCTGCGTCAGCTGCCGAAGAAGAAGCAGCGCCGGCTGCTGCATGCTGGACGCCATTGCCATTGCCACCACGGCACCACCTGCTACCTCCGGGTTACACGCACGTACTGCTGTGCTTTTATATAGACGGCAAATGCAATTAACAAGCTAGCTGCCGAGCTCGATTGGACTCGTTGGTAGGTAAACGTATGGATCACCATGATCTATCGGCAAGCTTCGGTAGGATCGATCGTATTCATTTCCTACTGTGCAGAAAAGTCTCGGAGTGAGAAGTCGAATAGTTTTTCTGTCAGTTTTGTTAAAGCTGTCATAAGTATTGCACGTCTAAACCCTATACCACAGATATAGCATAGACTAGATTCGTGTGGATATTTTCTCTCTCTCTTTTATGCTTGATTATGTTGCTTAGATCATGTGCAATTACTACACATACCCTTTTTTGGTTGGAAGTTTAAAGTTCCTTGTTGAAAGCTCAACAGTATTGCTAAGTCGACTTGTTTGCTAAGTCTAGTTTGTGCTATATCTGTGAGATTTTACATTGACATCCGTGCAAAATTTTCTTTTCGATTTTCCCTTTTTCTCTTTTGCATGTTACTAGCTTGGTCTTGGTTTATTGACCCCTTTCGTATTTTGTGTCTGAATTTAATTAACGAAATGCTAATGCATGTCACATAAAATAGTATCATTGAAAACTATGTGTACATACGAATCCAAGGATATAATTTTTATGATATGCTTTGACATCTTGTCAGTTAAATCGATGGCCAAATTATGACACAAAATACGAAGTGGGCCAAATTATGACACTTAACTAGACGTGATTAAATCTCAGTAGCTTGAGTCTTAGCCACACCCAAAGCTCAAACATTGGCATCAGGAGTTTGAACGTTACAAGTAGAATGTTCGTAGTTCCTCATTTGAAAATTCGGCACGTCTTCTATGTTGAAAAGTGCATTGTTTTGTAAAAGAAAAAAACTCTAGGCACCTAGTTGAGAGATTGCGCGGAAAGTTTGTGTCAACGTGAAGTCCATTACTAGTGTAGCCTAGCCCCGCCCCTCCGCTAGCCTAGCCCCACCAACGGCCACTTTGGCCCCGGCGTCCACCCAGCTGCCGTCAACCCCTGCTCCATGGCCTCGCGCTCGCCCTCTCCCACGGCGGGTAGCTCTCGCGAGTTCCGCTGGAAGGACTCTAGCCCGCCGCCTTCCAACCAGTCCCATGCCAGCCACCGCTCCTTCCAGGAGGCCCTCTGCGGGGCGAGCGGCGGTCGCCACCGTCGTCGCTTGCCCCACGCCCAGCCCCCCGCTCCGAGATCCACCGCGTGTCTCCGGTGGAGGAGGTGGGTTGGGAGGCCGATGTGGATGGTGCTGGCTGGACCATGGCCCGCGGGCGTCACGACCATCGTCCTCGACCGTGTCGCCCTGGCTGGTGCTCCGACGTGAACCCCCGTCTTTCTGCCCCACCCCTGCACAAGGATGAGTGCCCCAGATGCCTTGGCCAGGGGCACCCGCGCTTCGAGTGTCATCACGACGTTCGTTGCGTCGATGCCGCTTCTTTGGCCACATCGCCAGCGACTGCACGAACCCGCATGCTGCTCCCCCCTCTTGCTCGCCTCCAGCCAATCAGCCGCAACCAGTCTCCCATGGGTCCTCCTCAGGCGTGGCGGCCTCCGGGATGCGATCTGAACCATCCCCGCCGTCGTCCTCCAACAGCGCCTCCCTAGGGATCTCGCTGGCGCCCTCCCCTTCGCCGGTTCCCTTGGCTCCGCCGTCCTCTAGCCATGTTGTTGCTTTGTCCTCCCGTGTGGTGTCGGCGATGTCTGGTCAACCGTCGCTCCGTCCGGCAAGCGCCATCCGCTACCTTCCGAGGACCCTCGAGCTCGAGGCAGCTGAGGATGCCCTGCGCTTTGAGCTTGTCGCACTCGTGGCTGGTAACCGTGTCAACATCTCTGCTGACGAGGTCACGGTGGCACTCCGTGAGCAGGTCGGCCTGCCCGTGCATGAGTTCTCCGTTCACCGCCACCCCGAGTGATTTCTCCTTCACTTCCGTTCTATGGCCTCACGCACCCGCGTCGCAGCGACATCGACGCATACACCTCGCTTCCACCTCCTCTTCTAACCTTGGAGCCACCTCGCCGGCGGTAAGCCTATTTTTGTGTTGTTCCGGGTCCGCATAGTGATGCATGGTATACCTGAGCATGCTTGGCTGCGTTCTACTGCCGATATGCTTCTGGCCCCCTTCTGTCTCACCGAAGACCTTGTCTCTGATACATCTCCATCGTATCTACTTTTCCAAACTCTTTTGCCCTTATTTTGGACTCTAATTTGCATGATTTGAATGAAACTAACCCGGGCTGGCGCTGTTTTCAGCAGAATTGCCTTGGTGTTATTTTTGTGCAGAAATAAAAGTTCTCGGAATGACCTGAAAATCCATGTAGAATATTTTTGGAATAAATAAAAAATATTGGCAAAAGAATCAATCAAGGGGGACCCACCTATTGTCCACAAGGGTGGAGGGTGCGCACTTGCCTTGTGGGTCCCGTAGACCTCCACCGACCATAACTCCAACTCCATATATTCACATTCGGGGAGAAAAAAATCAGAGAGACGGATTCATCATGTTTTATGATACGGAGCCGCCGCCACCTCCTGTTCTCAATGAGAGAGCAGATCTGGAGTCCGTTCGGGGCTCCGAAGAGGGGAAATCATCATCGTCGTCATCATCAACCATCCTCCATCACCAATTTCATGATGCTCACCGCCGTGCGTGAGTAATTCCATCGTAGGCTTGCTGGACGGTGATGGGTTGGATGAGATTTATCATATAATCGAGTTATTTTTGTTAGGGTTTGATCCCTAGTATCCATTATGTTATGAGATTGATGTTGCTATGACTTTGCTATGCTTAATGCTTGTCACTAGGGCCCGAGTGCCATGATTTCAGATCTGAACCTATTATGTTTCCATGAATATATTTGTGTTCTTGATCCCATCTTGCAAGTTGTAGACACCTATTACGAGTTATGATCTGCATACCCCAAGGTGACAATAATTGGGATTCTTTCCGGTGATTACAGTAGTTTGAGGAGTTCATGTATTCACTAAGTGCTAATGCTTTGGTCTGGTTCTCTATTAAAAGGAGGCCTTAATATCCCTTAGTTTCCATTAAGGACCCCGCTGCCACGGGAGGTTAGGACAAAAGATGTCATGCAAGTTCTTTTCCATAAGAATGTATGACTATATTCAGAATACATGCCTACATTATATTGATGAATTGGAGCTGGTTCTATGTCACCCTAGGTTATAACTGTTGCATGATGAATGCCATCCGACATAATTATCCATCATTAATCCATTGCCTACGAGCTTTTCACATATTGATCTTTGCTATGTTACTTTACTGTTGGCACTGTTACAATCGCTACAAAACTGCTACTGTTACTTTTATCACCGTTACCGTTACTTCCATACTACTTTTTTACTAAATATTTTGCTGCAGATATTAAGTCTTTCAGGTGTGGTTGAATTGACAACTCAGATGCTAATACTTGAGAATATTCTTTGGCTCCCCTTGTGTCGAATCAATAAATTTGGGTTGAATACTCTACCCTCGAAAATTGTTGCAATCCCCTATACTTGTGGGTTATCAAGACCTTTTCCTGGCGCCGTTGCCGTGGAGCATAGCTCTATTCTCTGAGTCACTTGGGATTTATATCTGTTGATCACTATGAAGAATTTGAAAGATACTAGAACCAAGATCTATCCCTCTACTACGAGGGGAGGTAAGGAACTGTCATCTAGCTCTGCACTTGATTCACCCACAATCTTGTGGGATGCTTCTCTAGTTACTTAATGCTTTGCCTGATCATCCTCTCAAGAAAAATGAAATACTTGATATATTTTATAATGGACTAACCGATGCTTCTAGGGACCACCTAGATAGTTGTGTTGGTTGTGTTTTGAGGGAACAAACTATTGAGCAAGGTAAATTACTATTGAATAATATATTGAGTAATGATAATGATTGGACACTTCCTGAACCAACTCCTAAGCCAACTCCAAAGAAAAGAGGTATTCTATTTCTCAGTCCTGAAGATATGCAAGAGGCAAAGAAATCTATGAAAGAAAAAGGTATTAAAGCTGAAGATGTTAGGAATTTACTTCCTATTGAAGAAATACATGGTCTTGATGACCCGACACAGGTAGTAGAGGTAAATTCTCTCTATAGATGTGATGAAGGTGATATTCTTCATAACGAGTCTGCTAGTCAATGCTTGGATGAGTTTGATAATTTTATTGTTAAACAAGAAAAATTCAATGCTTATGTTAGTAGATAGTTGAAACATAATGCTTACATGCTTGACTGCTTGGGTGACTATGTGAGTAGAACTGCTAGTGATCTTAAGATTATTAGTAAGCATGCTTCCATGGTTAAAACTCAAGTAGAACAAGTACTTAAGGCACATGATGATTTGCTCAATGAGTTGAATAGTAAAAACAACGAAAATGTTGTTAGGGTTATGACTAGAGGTGGTAACACGACCCAGGAACCTTTGTATCCTGATGGCCATCCTAAGAGAGTTGAGAAGAATTCTTAGAGAATTAATACTGATGCACCTAGTCCTAGTAATAAAAAGAAAAAGAAAACCGATAGGACTTTGCATGCTTGTAGTGAACCTGTTATAGACACACCTGAGAATCCAAATGATATTTCTATTTCTGATGCTGAGACACAATCTGGTGATGAACATGAACCTAGTAATAATGTTAATGATGATGTTCATGTTGATGCTCAACCTAGTAATGATAATGATGTGGAGGTAGAACCCGCGGTTGATCTTGATAACCCACAATAAAAAAATCAACGTTATGATAAGAGAGACTTCATTGCTAGTAAACATGGTAAAGAAAGAGAACCATGGGTCCAGAAACCCATGCCCTTTCCTCCTAAGCCATCCAAGAAAAGGATGATGAGGATTTTGAGCGTTTTTTTAAATGCTTAGACCTATCTTTTTGCGTATGTGTTTGACTGGTATTCTAAAAATGTCTCCTTATGCTAAGTATATG